AGAAAGTTCTAACTTGACACTCCCTGGATATTTGCTGAAACTTGTATACTGAGGAAGATCATTTGCCTAAGAGTCCTATATATCAAATGCCAGGTATTTAAGCATCTTAAATAGAGCTTTTGTCTGGGCTTCATCTACTGCTATTTTTCCAAAAAAAATTCTGGGTTTTTCCGGAATTTTTTTTTTTTTTTTTTGCGGTACGCGGGCCTCTCACTGTTGTGGCCTCTCCCGTTGCGGAGCACAGGCTCCAGACGCGCAGGTTCAGCGGCCATGGCTCATGGGCCTAGCCGCTCCACGGCATGTGGGATCTTCCCGGACTGGGGCACGAAGCCGTGTCCCCTGCATCGGCAGGCAGACTCTCAACCACTGCGCCACCAGGGAAGCCCTTTCCGGAATATTTAAAGTGAAATTTATTTTAAAAATTTATTGCACAAATATGTTCACTGGAAAGTTGTTTGATACCACAAAACTGGAAACAATTAAAATGCACATCAAATATGAGGTTGATTAAATAAAAGAAAGCATATACATGAAGAGTGAAGTGACTATGCATCTGGTTTAGAGCAGTGGGCTCAGGAGGTCACACTAGTCCTGAGTTTGAATCTTGACTCAACCATTCCCAAGTTGTGTGATATCAGGCAGGTTAACTTCTCTAAGCCTCAATTTCCTATTCTATGAAACTGGGATCATTGTGCCTACCTCACTGTGAGGATTAAATGGGATTATGTATATAAAACATGTGCCATAGTACCTGACACTTGATAAATGCAGGGCTCAAACAATTTGGCACATGGCTGGTGTTTAATAAAGATTTGTTGAATGATAACAAATTTTTAAAAATGTTATATGTTATGCTATAGCAGCTGGGGAAGACTAATAATACATTGTTAAGTAAAGAAAGACAGTTACTATGATGTCAATTTTATTTAAAATATTATATATATATATATAGAGAGAGAGAGAGACAGAGAGAGATATAGAGCCAAAAGATAGTTTTGAATCATTGAAACGTAAAAAAATGGTTATGTACAGATAGGACTCTGAGAGGTTTTTGATTTCTATTTTATGCATTTCTTAGGTAACCCAAATGTCTCCCAGTCTTCTGGAGCCATTTATTCCTGTAATAACCAAATGTCTTGAGTTCCTACCCTAGGTAATGGCAGGGTCTATGCTCGCTACCCACCCCTCTTCCTCTAGGGTAACCTTCTTCTTAGATACCTGTTCATGAATTAGTCCAAGTTTCAGTTTTCCCAGTCCCTGGGTTCAACTCCTGCAGCTGCTGTCTTCTTTCAGCACCTCTGTCAGGCATGTAGCCTTCATCTCTCCATTTTCATGGCCCCAAACCACCAAGGCTAGTCTACTGACTTTCACTAAATTACTGGTAAGTGTTTTTCCATACAGCATCTAATAGGAAACAATTTAAAACTGAATACTGATATCTTAAAGAGGACATTTAGTGGCTATCTTGTGCCCTAGACCATAGCCTACCACCGTTTGGCCAGGTACTGCTCCTCAAGCCAAGAATTCTTCATTTCCATTTAATCTCTCTTTTCCTAGTTCCTGAAACACCCAGCCTCTTTCTCCAGATTGCTCCCTGGAAAAAAATCCAAGTTCTTTTTATATGTAAAGAAATCTAATTCTCAGTCCTCATCCCAGACTAGGCTCTGGCTGGACCCATCTTGCCTTTCACATAAGGTTACTGTTGGGGAACTTTTCTAAACAAAAAAGCCATGCACCCATGATCTACACCCTCAGCTAAGCAAAGAGACAGCATAAGCAAAGTCATGATTTTCCCTTAATTGGAAATTTGCTGATAATATCTGGAAAGGAAGAAAATTCATATTTTTGGATATGCTCAATTTTAACCAGTGCAAAATCTAGAGGTAATTTTTTGTCTGTCTGTTACAGATATTTCCCAAATGTTTTACAATGAGCATGTATTCTAAATAAAATAAAATACAGCAAATATTATAAAATATTAATCTTTTAATTGATGAATGTCTTAAGTTTTCATTTCAGAAAATATCCACATATGTTAGCTCTGTTCTCCTTGCCTTAAGTTCTTCCTCACCCCACTCCCCACCTCCTGCTTTTTCTTTTTCTTTCTTTTTGTTTGTTTGCATCTTACAGGAGTAAAAATAAAAAGCTTGTGAACTTAAAAGGGACAGGAAAAAGATGGGCTCTGAGGTACAGGGAGATTCCAACAAATTTGTCTGCTTGCTATAGATGAAAATTATATAAATGTCTTTCTCAATTGTGAATATTCATTTAGATGAAACCAAGCTGGGGTCACGAATTCCGAATGCTGGATTTTACATAGCATCTTCAGAAAAGGGGGTCTAATATATTGTAGTAATTAGACTTTAAGTGCATAAACATATCCATGTTTTTACACCTATGGGAGATGGCTTATACATCATACTAAATTAAAAACATTTTGGTAGAGCAGACCATGAACACACATTTTGAATTCTTAGAATTTGGCACGTATTGGCTTACAAAATTTACCACCTAGACTAGATCTGTAATAAAAGATCTGTATGTTAAGACTAAGATTATATTTTAGAAAATTTCTGATAATATCTGGAAATGATAAAAACCTGAAATTTAAATAATATGTACACCTTTATTAAATATAAACAAGGTTGCAATGTTTATCATTTAGACTTTGTTTCTAAACTGGATTACATTTCTACCTTGTGGCAAAGACTTATTATTGATGCTTTTGTTTAAATATTGCAAAAAACTATTTTTTCCCTGATAATATACCAGTTATAGTGTGGAGATAATTTGCATGGCTGATGGAGACAGTCTCATTCTGTTTCTAAGATGGAACAAGTTGTGTTAATAAGTAACTGTGAGCAAGAATATGCATTTTTGTGTGTCCCCTTAAAATCACTATTGTATAATGTTAAAAAAACATTAAAAATTAAAAACAAACGAACACCTAAATCACCTTCAAGTGATGGAAAGTTCATGAGCCAAAGTACAAAAGAAACTTGTTAACAACTCTAGATCACTAAACTATAAATTTCTAATTTTACCCCTTTAAGGCATCAGCCAGAAACCTAACACATGTCTCCTCCTTTTATAAAGCAAAAAGCAATGTCATTCATCCCCACAATAAATTATGAAAGTGATATGATTTTGTAAAGCAAAAAGCAAAATTCCTTCACCTCTTTTCTGGCATTTCAGAAAAGCCAAAATGAGAACTCGGTTTTCCTTATTTTGTCTGGAGTTTCAGTTGTGTGACTTAAATCAAGTTACCTAACCTCTCTGAATCTCAGTTCCTTTACTTGAAAAATGAACATAATAATATAACCTACCTCACTAGATTATTGTGAGCATTAAGTGAGCTAATATAAGTAAATTGCTCCTTAGACCCATGCCTAACACCACAGGAAGCATTCATAAAATTTTAGCTCTCATTGTTATTACAGGTCGATCAAGATCAGGAATGTATCTACATCTAATTTGTGTTGAGTTTGGCATAGTTCTGCGATGTGACTTAATTTGTCTGTCATGCTAAGAAGGTGGGCTCTCTAGTTTTCATTTATAGCTAGTATAGGCAAAATGGTGATGGTACTCTTTAGTTCTATTCGAACCTTCCATCTATGGGATGGGCCTTGGACTCTCCCCATTCTGGCATGTATTAGATTTTGGAAAATTAATCTTTCTAAGTTCCAGTTTCTTTATTGATAAAAATGGGGAACAAGAGTATATATCTCACAGGGTTGCTTTGATGATTAAATAAGTTATGCATACCTAAAGACCTTTTCGCAAAGTGTGAGACTTCACAGCTTCAACCAATGTTTTCTGGTATGTTTAGAAAATAAAAGACACTCCATCTACAACAATATTAGCACTAGTTATATAATATACATTGTTGAGGAAGTGAGCCAACAGATAAAAAGATGGGAGAAGGAATTCTGCGAGGGGGGATGGGGTGAATGGGCAATATACCTGATCTTACAGATGTGGGGGGTGGAGAATAAGCATAGCATGTGTAAGGAGCAGGATAGTGTGATGGTAAAAACCCTGGAGTTGGAATCAGATAGATGTGGGTCTGAATTCAGGCTCTTTGCCAACTGTTCATGTCTTGGTTAGGTTGCCAAATCTTATGAATCAGTTTCCTTAGAACTGGGGATAATAGGGTTGCTGTGGGATTGAATGACAAGATGCAAAGTGCCTCCCACTGAACCTAGGTCATAAAATAACTCAATAAATAGTAGCCATAGTTATTCTTAATTATTTGTAAACAAATATTTTCTTCATTAGGGACTTGAGCACCTCAATAGGAGAACCCTTTTAAGCATTCCACTTTCTATGGTGTGGGGAAAAGGTAATAAGTGGAAGTCAGAACAGAAATAGGAAGTGAATTATTTCAGGGCTGGGGCATGGGGAAAACAGAATGGGTTAGGGCAAATATCCTTACAGTTGTTGGTTAAAACAGTGGACACTCTTAGGGTGTCAAGCATATGCTCTGAGATTCCTCCCAGCTTTTTGCTTCAGTCTCTTAAGCTCTTGGGAGGAGGAAATAAAGTGGTGTAGCAGCCCCTGCCTCGCCCCTCCCCCACCACGTGGGGGAGCACTCACACACGTAAATAAGGGCACTGTGACTTCATCACTGTGACGCAGTGATGGTGCAAGGTGGTGAAGCAGTAATACTCTCCCAGGGTCATTTTCTTCTTCCCCTCACTACCAGCCTGTTGGCAGGGAAAGGCCAGATGACAACCTGAAACCCAGCCAAGCCTACAGCTGTGATAGCTGGTAAGGTCAACTCCAGCAAATTGGAGGCATCAGTAATCTTCTTTAGGTAGCACTCCTTTATTTTTCCCATTCTCATCTTGATAGAATGGTATCTCAAAGAACGAATCAAGTTGAGAAAAAAATAGAAACATCCTACAGCCTCCCACCACAGCACTGTAGTTAAGGGCTCCTGTTACATGAAGGCACTTAGTCATTGGCCAACCAGTTGTCTGCCAACCCATCATCCACCAACTAGTTCTAAACCAAATAGCCCTCAGCCAACCAGACACGAATCAACTGGGTATGAATCAATCAAGCTTACCAGACATGAACCAGCCAGGCATGATCTTACGTGGTATGAACCAATTGGACATGAACCAACCAAGTACAAGCCAACCTGACACTAACCAACTGAGTCAACCAGGTAACTAGGCCTGTGCCAAATAAGCATGAGGCAACCTGGCACATGCATGCAGGCCTGAGTCAACTTGGCATGAGGCAAACAGTCGTGAGCCAATCAAGCACGACCCAATCAGGCACAAGTCAGCCAGGCATGAGTCAATCAGGCATGAGTCAACTGCAACCAGACCCAAGCAAATCCAGCATGAATGAACCAGGTATAAGGCAAAAATGCCCAAGCCAATCAATCATGAGTCAGCCAGGCATGAGGCAACCATGCCCGAGCCAATCCAGCACAAGTCAACCAGGCCTGAGCCAATCAGGCACAAGACAAACAGCCATGAGCCAAACAGGCAGGAGACAATCAAGCATGAGGCAACCAAGCGTGAATTCTTTCCAAGTAAGACCTGCGGAGGCTCGAGACTGCCTATGTTTTCCTCTAAGAGTTTTATAGTGTCTGGTCTTTAATCCATTTTGAGTTTATTTTTATGTATGATGTTAGGGAGTGTTCTAATTTCATTTTTTTACATGTACCTATTCAATTTTCGCAGCACCACTTATAGAAGAGGCTGTCTTTTCTCCATTGTATATTTTTGCCTTCTTTGTCATAGATTAGGTGACCATAGGTACGTGGGTTTATCTCTGGGCTTTCTGTCCTGTTTCATTGATCTATATTTCATTGATCTATATTTCTGTTTTAGTGCCAGCACCATACTGTCTTGATTCCTGTAGCTTTGTAGTATAGTCTGAAGTCAGGAAGCCTGATTCCTCCAACTCCGTTTTTCTTTCTCAAGATTGCTTTGGCTATTCGGGGTCTTTTGTGTTTCCATACAAATTTTAAAATGTTTTGTTCTAGTTCTGTGAAGAATGCCATTGGTAATTTGATAGGGATTGCATTGAATCTGTAGATTGCTTTGGGTAGTATAATCATTTTCATAATCATTTTCACAAAATTGATTCTTCCAATCCAAGAACATGGTATATCTCTCCATCTGTTTGTGTTATCTTTGATTTCTTTCATCAGTATCATAATTTTCTGAGTACAGGTCTTTCGCCTCCTTAGGTAGCCCTAGGTATTTTATTCTTTTTGTTGCAATGGTAAATGGGAATGTTTCCTTAATTTCTCTTTCCAATGTTTCATTGTTTGTGAATAGGAATGCAAGATATTTCTGTATATTAATTTTGCATCCTGTAACTTTACTGAATTCATTGATTAGCTCTAGTAGTTTTCTAGTAGCATCTTCAGAATTTTCTATGTATAGTATCATGTCATCTGCAAACAGTGACAGTTTTTGTTCTTCTTTTCCAAATTAGATTCATTTTATTTCTTTTTCTTCTCTGATTGCCATGGCTAGGACTTCCTAAACTGTGTTGAATAATAGTGGTGAGAGTGGACATCCTTGTCCTGTTCCTGATCTTAGAGGAAATGCTTTCAGTTTTTCACCATTGAGAATGATGTTTGCTGTGGGTTTGCCGTATACTGTATATGGGCTTTATTATGTTGAGGTAGGTTCCATCTATGCCCACTTTCTGGAGAGTTTTTTTTTAATCATAAATGTGTGTTGAATTTTGTCAAAAGCTTCTTCTGCATCTATTGAGATGATCATATGGTTTTTATTCTTCAATTTTTTAATATGGTATATTACATTGATCAATTTGCATATATTGAAGAATCCTTGCATCCCTGGGATAAACCCCACTTGTTCAAGGTGTATGATCCCATTAATGTGTTGTTGGATTCTGTTTGCTAGTATTTTGTTGAGGAATTTTGTGTCTATGTTCATCAGTGATATTGGCCTCTAATTTTCTTTCTTTGTGACATCTTTGTCTGATTTTGGTATCAGGGTGATGGTGGCCCCGTAGAATGAGTTTGGGAGTGTTCCTCCCTCTGTTAAATTTTGGAAGAGTTTGAGAAGGATTAAGTATTAGCTCTTCTCTAAATGTTTGATAGAATTTGCCTGTGAAGCCATCTGGTCCTGGACTTTTGTTTGCTGGAAGATAATCATAATTTCAATTTCAGTACTTGTGATTAGTCTGTTCATCATATTTTCTGTTACTTCCTGGTTCAGTCTTGGAAGGTTGTACTTTTCTAAGAATTTGTCCATTTCTTCCAGGTTATCCATTTTATTGGCATATAGTTGCTTGTAGTAGTCTCTTATGCTCCTTTGTATTTCTGTGGTGTCCATTGTAAATTCTTCTTTTTCATTTCTAATTTCATTGATTTGAGTTCTCTCCCTTTTTTTCTTGATGAGTCTGGGTAAAGGTTTATCAATTTTGTTTATCTTCTCAAAGAACCAGCTTTTAGTTTTATTGATCTTTGCTATTGTTTTCTTCATTTCTATTTCATTTATTTCTACTATAATCTTTATGATTTCTTTCCTTCTACTAACTTCGAGGGTTTTTTGTTGTTGTTCTTCTTCTTTCTCTAGTTGCTTTAGGTGTAATATTCAGTTGTTTATTTGAGATTTTTCTTTTTTCTTGTTTCTTGTGGTAGGATTGTATTACATAAACTTCCCTCTTAGAACTGCTTTTGCTGCATCCCATAGGTTTTGGGCCATCGTGTGTTTTTGTCATTTTTTTCTGGGTATGATTTGATTTCCTCTTTGATTTCTTCAGTGATCTCTTGGTTATTTAGTAGCATATTGTTTAGCCTCCATATATTTGTATTTTTTACAGTTTTTGCTTTTCCTGTAATTGATTTCTAATCTCATAACATTGTGGTCAGAAAAGATGCTTGAAACAATTTCAATTTTCTTAAATTTACAGAGGTTTGATTGCTGACCCAAGATGTGATCTATCCTGGAGAATGTTCCATGAGCACTTGAGAAGAATGTGTATTCTGCCACTTTTAGGTGGAATGTCCTATAAATATCAATTTAGTCTATTTGGTCTATTGTGTCATTTAAAACTTGTGTTTCCTTTTTTATTTTCTGTCCGGATGATCTGTTAATCAGTGTAAGTGGGGTGTTAATGTCTCCCACTATTACTGTGTTACTGTAGATTTCCCATTTTATGGCTGTTAGCATTTGCTTTATGTATTGAGGTGCTCCTATGTTGGTTGCATAAATATTTACAATTATCTTCCTCTTGGGTTGATCCCTTGATCATTATGTAGTGTCCTTCCTTGTCTCTTGTAATAGTCTTTATTTTAAAGTCTATTTTTAAAGTCTATTTTGTCTGATATGAGTATTGCTATTCCAATTTGCTTGGAGTATCTTTTTCCATCCCCTCACTTTCAGTCTGTGTGTGTCCCTAGGAGACAGCATATATATGGGTATTGTTTTTGGATCCATTCAGCTAGTCTGTGTCTTTTGGTTGGAGTATTTAATCCATTTACATTTAAGGTAATTATCAATATGTATGTTCCTATTACCATTTTCTTAATTGTCATGGGTTTTTTCTTGTAAGTCTTTTCCTTCTCTTGTGTTTCCTGCCTAGAGAAGTTCCTTTAGCATTTGTTGTAAAGCTGGATTGGTGGTGATCAATTGTCTTAGCTTTTGCTTGTCTGTAAAGCTTTTGGTTTCTCCTTCAAATCTGAATGAGAGTGTTGCTGGGTAAAGTATTCTTGGTTTTAGGTTTTTCCCTTTCGTCAATTTGAATATATCATGTCACTCCCTTCTGGCCTGCAGAGTTTCTGCTGAGAAATCACCTGACGACCGTATTAGAGTTCTTTTGTACATTATTTGTTGCTATTCCCTTGTTGCTTTCAAGATATTTTTCTTTATCTTTAATTTTTGTCAGTTTGATTACTATGTGTCTCGGTGTGTTCCTCCTTAGGTTTATCTTGCCTGGGACTCTCTGCCTTTCCTGGACTTGGGTGACTGTTTCCTTTCCCATGTTAGGGAAGTTTTCAGCTATTATCTCTTCAAGTGCTTTCTCAGGTTCTTTCTCTTCTCCCTCTGGTACCCCTATAATGCGAACGTTGGTTGTTTATTGTTGTCCCACAGGTCTCTTAGACTGTACTCATTACCTTTCATTCTTTTTTCTTTATTCTGCTCCTCAACAGTTATTTCCACCATTCTATCTTCCAGCTTACTTAGTGGTTCTTCTGCCTCAGTTATTCTGCTGTTGATTCCTTCTAGTGTATTTTTCATTTCAGTTACTGTGTTGTTCATCACTCATTGTTTGTTCTTTAGTTCTTCTAGGTCCTTGTTAAACATTTCTTCTGTCTTCTCGATCCATGCTTCCATTCTATTTCTGAGATCTTGGAACGTCTTTACTGTCATTACTCTGAAGTCTTTTTCAGGTAGATTGCCCATTTCCTCTTTGTTTATTTGGCCTTGTGGGATTTACCTTGCTCCTTTGTCTGCAACATATTTCTCTGTTGTTCCATTTTGTCTAACCTATTGTGTTTATGGTCTCCTTCTGCAGGCTGTATGGTCATAGTTCCTCTTGCTTCTGTTGTCTGCCCTCTGGTGAGTGAGGTTGCTCCAGGGGCTTGTGTAGGCTTCCTGGTGTGAGGGACTGGTACCTGAACTCTGGCGGGTGGAGCTGAGTCTTTTCCCTCTGAAGGGCAGGGCCATGTCAGGTGGTGTGTTTTGGAGTGTCTGTGAGCTCAGTACGACTTTAGGCAGCCTGTCTGCTGATGGCTAGGGCTGTGTTCCTGTCTTGCTGGTTGTTTGGTGTGAGTTTTCTTGTGCTGGAGCCTGCAGGCAGTTGTGTGGGGTTGGGTCTTGATGTTAATATGGACTCCTCCAGAAGTGTGCATGCTGAATAATATTCCCTGGGGCCAGGAATTCTCTGGCAGTCCAGTGTCCTGGACTTGGTGCTCCACTCTGGAGGCTCAGACCCAACCACTGGCCAAGGAACGAACAGCCTGCAAGCTGCACAGTGTGGCCAGAGTAAAAGGAAAGAAAAGAAAAGAAAACCAACAGACAAACAAAACCCAAGACAAATAGCAAAAACAATGGCAAACAAACAGCAGCAATAACAACACTACACACACACACACCGAAAAAATAAAATAAAATAAACCAAGAGAATAAACATACAAAAGAATTTAAAAATGAGAATAGTCAATAAGGACTAAATGAACAAGAACAAAAAATGAAAAAGAAAACAAAAACAGAAAGCAAACACAGGCACTTCCCTGGTGGCGCAGTGGTTGAGAGTCCGCCTGCTGATGCAGGGAACATGGGTTCGTGCCCCAGTCCGGGAAGAGCCCACATGCTGCAGAGCAGCTGGGCCTGTGAGCCATGGCTGCTGAGCTTGTGTGTCCGGAGCCTGTGCTCCACAGTGGGAGAGGCCACAACAGTGAGAGGCCATGTACTGAAAAAAAAAAAAAACAAACACAAAACAATTACATAAAAATGATCAAAAAATATAAAGAACAAAACCAAAAATAAACACAAAACAACAGAAAACTAAAGTAAAAATAGAAAAATCAAAAAATATATTAAA